CCTCAGTATATTTTTCTAACCATTGTTTTAAAAATTTTGATTCAAGTGTGAGGTGGGGATTTTATCGCATTTGTTGGTTAGGGTGAAATGTGCTTTAGAGGATTTTAATTTTGCTGTTAAAAAAAATGAAAAAAAACTTTAAACGGCAAGTCGTGGCGCAGACCTAGGTACGAAAAAATTTATTATTGAATAGAAGCACACTTAGCCCACCCTTTATTTCATATTTTTCATGTCAATATGAAAAGAAAAAAAGTTATTTCTTTCACTCTATGCTTATGCATTGAATTGTTGCACTGTGGATAATGTCATGTTTTTTAAGTGTGGGGTGGGAGAATAAAATTTTCAATTTTTATTATTTTATTGAGTCTTTTCTTTTGTAGGATGGGCTCCTTGGATTTTGTTTTTGGTTTTTTTCCTGAGAATGGTCCCTTTGAACCGATTATCTTTTATTTTTTAGGTTGTAAATCTTTTTATTTTTATTGTTTGGAGAGAAAAGAAAATTCTCTTTTGACTTGTGCGATACTTGCTATTTGGGCCTAATTTTGAGTAGTACTTTCTTGTGAAGGCTTGATTGCTAGTGAAATTGCAAATTCTTTGACACCAAGGCTCATGGTTGTGACTTTGTATATAGCTTACTTTATTTTGTAGTTTTTTATGACTCTGTCTCTCTTAGAAGTGAAATTGATCAATCTTGATTGATACTTGTGCAATGTGTGGAGAGAATTTGTTTATTCCACTGTTGCAGCTTAGTCTAGAACTTTTCATGCATGTTATTGAAGAGAAATAAAAAGTGTTGCTTTGTTTAGGAGATGATAATACACTTTCTTTGATTTGCCTTGTAAATTTTAGCCTTTTCATATATTATATCACTACTTAGCCCTTTTGAGCCTATAACCTTTTGTTGGTAGCCATATTTTTCCTTGACTCTTTCGTTAAATCCCTTGTTTCCTTAAGCACTATAGCATAGACTTATTATAGTTGTTAAATTTGAAGAAAAGGGATGGTTCAGTGAAAAAGGGAATCAACTATAGCTACAAAGTGATGAAAAAGCCTTCTTTGAAAGGTTGTGATATAAAAAACAACAAAAAGAATCTTTGAGAAAAAAAATGATTGAAGTATTCTTGAGATGATGACAATTATTTCTGAAATAACTAGAGAGGGCTGAGAATAAAGAAAAGAAAATAGTGGGTGATGAAATCTAAAACTGCAAAGTGCTTAGGGAATTGTTAGTCACTATTTTATAGTCTTCCTACCCGTCCCCTAGACTACATTACAACCCATCAAACTCCTATTTGATTCAATTTGAGCATTCTTAATTAGTGGAGATATACATAATTGGAAAGTTTGTGGTACTTTTTGCATATATGTGAATTTTATTTATGACTGTGAGAGTTATTCTTTGATGTTGAGTCCTTAATTTGTATTTAATCTTTTGAATTGAGTGTGTGGGCTATTTCTTCTTTTGAGGGGATTTGTTTCAAGATAGATAGGTGATTTTATTATCTTTCTTTGATGAGAGTAAGTGAAAAAGCTTAAATTTGATGAGTTCAAAGTCCTTCCTCGAGGTTAGGAGGTTAGAAGTTCGTTCATTATTTATATATTTTGGATAATGATCGGGACGTGTACTTGAAGTTTTGAAATCTGTGGATGGCCTAAATGTTTGTATCAACTAAAGTGGTAGTCTCACTGGTTTGATTTTTTTGAGATGAGCTCTAATGTTTGCTCGAGGAGGAGCAAACGTTTAAGTGTAGGGTGTTAATGTGAGACCAGACTACATATTTTAAATCATTATTTGCCTCACATTTTGTATTTTTATTTGTCCTGTTTGACCATGGATTTTGTGGATTATGCTAAATAATATATTTCATTTGTAGGATTAAATTGGTGTGAGGAAAAAGAAGTTTAAAGGTAAAATGAATTATTGATGGAAGATTATAGAAGGAAATCAAGCAGACAACTTAATGAATTAAATTTAATATAATAATATATTTTTATACTTATATAAAAGGGCAGAGAAAAGAAATTCAAAAGAAAGAGCCACAACTACCATGTGGCAATCAATGAGGCCACAGCAAATTATGTTGAGGCGGTTGGGTACATACAGTGTAGCGAGGAATTCTATTTCATTTAAGTTTTGGGTTCCCAATTTGTTTTGGAGTAAATTATTTTATTTAGGATTTTCTATCTCTATAAACAGTCCATACGATTAATTCTTTAGAGGAGGAGGACAGAGTGAAAAAAATAACTTTATATCTAGGATATCATCTCTTCTTCTTTATTTCTTCTTTTTATTTTACATATTTTCTTTAAATGATTTATTGTAATTGCTCTAGGTTTATGTGGAGTTAAACTTCTTGTTCTAGGATTATGTGTAACACTCTGAAAACTAGTAGGCTAAGCAAGAGCTTAACATGAGTGTTAGAGTCGTAAACGTACCTCCCTGTACCTTAAAATAATTTTTTTCATGTTAGAACGTCAAGGTTCAAACCCCAAGGACCAACCATGGGTCCTTGAGGAGGACCTAAGGAAGCTGCATGGGCAGTGACCCACGAGGGAAACCCACACCCCGTAGGTCCTCCCACGCCTCGTGGGTGGGCATCCGTGGAACTAGGCCTCAAGAACTAGGTCTCTAAACCTAGAACATGGTTCACCAGCATGAGCCGTGGGTCCAACCACGGTCCGTCAGTGATGGGTCGTGAGTGAGGCCTAGAACTTCTATTTGGTAGCTACACTTATGAGCATTATGGAGTTTTTCCAGTTTTAACTAATATTAAGTGATGTCGTTTTACACTAAATTATACTAACTATATATGATTTTAAAGTCCCTAAATTAAGTCATCTTCCTCATAATTCCAAATCCCAAAAGGAGTAGGCTTTTCTCCTAGAACTCCAAGGAAGAAGAAGATGGGAGGTGAAGCTAGGGTTGAAGGAGTAGGCTTTTCTCCTCAATTTCATGGGAATTCAAAACTAATGTATGGTAGATCTTCATCCATGGATAGATTTCATCCATGGAGTCCCTACAAAACTCAATTTCAAAGATAGAAATTCTTTCAAAAATGATTATATTGATTTAATTACTTTATATTATGATTGAATTGATGATTTATTATGGATTTATGTTGAAATCCCCCAAGAATTTATGAAATCCCCATATTCCCAAATTGTGACCTTGTGATGTGGGTGAATTGTAGAAAGAAGAGTATTATGAGGTTATGCTTATGGTAATTGAACTAATTCAATTATGTTATTATCCATGTATAATGTAGTAATTGTTGATGTGTTTATTTAATATGATCTATGGTCCTTGAAGGGAAAAGTATGAGAATTATATATGAATATGAGATGTATGTATATGCTTTAAGAACACTTTTAGAGTGTAGTGTCCATGATTATGATAATGTTGTTGAGTTGATTGAAAGGTTATTCTCATTAACACATAATGAACATAATGTGAAGGTTTTCTCACAATATGATGATTCCAAGGTTGAAAGGGTATTCTCACCGATTGAATCTATGATATATCTTATGAATTATGTTGGATTGAGTGTCAAGGCATTCTTCCATGAATATGAACTTAAGTCAAGACAAAATATGTACTCCAAAGGAATTATGCTTAGCACGGAGTGGATATTGAATATGAGATTGAAGTCCCCCACTAGAAGGGTGGGTTTCTAGAAAGTATCTCTTGAGATGGATGCTCCCCCGCTAGAAAGGGTGGATTTCTAGTAGCAATCTCCTTATCCCATAAACTATGTGACCCCATAGGTTATTTAGCTAGTGGATCCACCCAACAGTTAAGAGTATGGTTCTACCTTAGGCAAGTAGGACAACCCTTTTTGGTGTGGACAACACCGGACTCCATGGTAAGCTCACATGGTCTATGTCGGTTAAGGCCTATTCTCAATATGATAAGAATATGAATTATGAACTATGGCTACTACAGAAGCTTTACTTAGCATGGGTAGGATTATGGGATCTTATTCATGCATTGCACAAGTATATTTTGAGGGTACTTATGGTATGTTTCTCTTATTTCATGATGATTTATGTAATGAATATGCTTATGACTTATGCTCTTCCATTATCTTCAAAATGATGCTTTAACTTAGTAAATTGCATATATTCAACTAAAATGTCCCTTTAAGCATGATTTCAAGATTTTTATGTATGGCTATCATACATAGTGCATTTTTGTACTAACCCATATTTTCCTACATTTTCTTAAGTGTATGGCCCGGTTCAAAAGGTGGTGCTCATTGTGGCTAGAGCTTGGATTTAGTCATTTCTCCTTGCTTTTTGGTGAGTCCTCATGACTTGATTACAGATTCTATCTTTGAAGTTTCTTTTATCGTATTTCCATTTTTGGACATGTTGTATGGGCTAGGCCCAATTTGATTCAAAGAATTGTAATAGATGGCTAATTGAGACAAGTCTAGACTTACGTTTTCCTTTGTGAAAAAATTGGACTTGAAATATGTTTTTACTCTTTATTATTCTATGTTGATGTTATGATATGCTAAGTGGCTTACATGGGTCTTTTTGGGGTTCTATGTGCCTTATTACGTCTAGGGGGTACCCTTGGTTCGTGACAAACTTGGTATCTGAGCACAAGGTTTAGAATAATTCTAGGATGATGTCTCATAACCCACGTCTAGTAAAGTATTGTTCATGAGTATGAAGCGTGCCACATTTATTAATGAGAGACTATAAGATGTTTAGGAAATTTTACTTCTTTCATTACTCTTATGTTGTGCCTTAGAGTTTAACTCTATAAAGTCCCTCTCCTAATCCTTATATTGTGTCTTCATGATATGAATACATGAAAGGCTAACGCAAGAAGAATGGAGGGTGACAATGGGAATGAAGAAGCTCCACAAGCTAATCAAGCTCGAATAAATCCTTCAGATATGTCTGATGTGGCGGTTAGGTCAGCTTTTCGAATGCTGGCCCAATCTACAATGACTCAAGCTCAAGCCTTGACTACTCAAGCTTAAGCAGTGATGGCTCAGGCCAATAGAGATATTGGGACTCAAGTGAACCCTAATGTGAATTCGGCCGCTTCAAGGCTTAGGGATTTTGCTAGAATGAACCCTCTAGAGTTTCATGTCTCTAAAGTGGAAGAGGATCCTCAAAGTTTTATTGATGAGGTTTATAAAGTTCTTGATAATATGGGAATGTCTCCACAAGAGAGGCAGAGTTAGCCACCTACCAATTGAAAGATGTGGCTCATGTTTGGTATGAAAAGTTGAGTGAAAGACTCGTAGGAGTGGGCTCGGTAGAATGGGAATCATTTAAATCAGCATTTCTTGATACATTCTTACCCTTAGAGTTGAGGGAAGCAAAGATGTAAAAGTTCATCAACCTTCGTCAAGGAGTATGAGTGTGAAAGAGTGTGCTCTAAAGTTCACTCAATTATCCAAGTATGCTCCAACTGTGGTGGCAGATTCAAGGGCTAAGATGAATAAATTTGTGATGGGAGTGTCCGACATGATAGTCAAAGAATGTTGTATAGAAATGCTTATCCCAAGTATGGATATTTCACATCTCATGGTGCATGGCCAACTAATGAAAGAAGAGAAACTCAAGGAAAAGAATAGAGAGGTGAAGAGAGCTAGCACTGGTGATGGGAATTTCTCCAATGCTAGGTCCGATGGACAAGGTCGACAAAAGTTCAAACAAAGGTTTTCCAACCAAGGCTCATATAGTTCTCATAGGGTCAATAAGGATAAGGTTGTCTAACCCTAAACCTCAAGGAGGTAATGGGGTGATTCTTATGTGAATAAGCTGGATTGTGTAAAATGTGGGAAGAAACATGATGAGAAGTGCCTAGCTGGAACGGGTATTGTTTTTGGATGTGGTAAGAGTGGTCATCAATTGAGGAATTGCCCAACACTTTCGGCCAAGGGGAAAGAAGGCATGGAAGGTCATCTAAGTGGTTCAAACTCCAATGCCCAAAAGCAAAACCATTTTTATGCTCTTGGATCTTGAGATGACCAAGAGAGATCCCCGGATGTAGTGACCGGTATGTTAAAAGTCTTTTCTATTGATGTATATGCCTTGTTAGATCCCGATGGTACTTTGTCCTTTGTGACACCTTTTATGGCCATGAAGTTTGAAATACTCCCCGAAGCTTTAGTAGAACTTTTTTCGATCTCTACCACGGTTGGTGATTCTGTGATGGCCAGGAAATTTTATAGAAGTTGTCCCATTTCTTGTCCCATAGAGTTACTTTGGTGGATTTGGTGTAGTTAGACATGTTAGACTTTCATGTGGATTTGGATTGATTGAATGTATGTTATGCCTCTAACGATTGTAGGACTCGGGTGGTTAAATTCCAATTTCCAAACGAACCTATCTTAGAGTGGAAGAGGAGAAATTCTATGCCTATTGGTCAATTTTTCTCTTGCCTTAAATCTAGGAAGATGATCTCCAAATGGTGTATTTACCATCTTGTTAGGGTGAGGGATGTTGAATCTAAAACCCCTTCTTTAGATTCGGTTCCGATAGTTAATGAGTTTCCATAAGTTTTCCCTGATGATTTGCCCGGTATTCGTCCCATGTGGGAAATAGATTTTGGTATTAACCTTTTACCGGATATGCAACCTATCTCCATTCCTCCTTATATAATGGCTCCGACCGAGTTGAAAGATTTTAAATAGAAACTAAAGGATTTATTTGACAAGGGTTTTATCTGACCGAGTATCTCTCCATGGGGCGCTCCGGCGTTGTTTGTTAGAAATAAAGATGGGTCTCTTAGAATGTGCATCGATTATCGTCAATTAAATAAAGTGACCATCAAGAATAAATATCCCCTTCCGAGAATTGATGATTCGTTTGACCAACTTTAAGGGGCTAGCTATTTCTCTTACATTGATCTTGTTTGGGTTATCACCAATTGAGGGTGAGAGGGCTTGATATTCCAATGACGGCATTTAGAACCCGATATGGTCTCTATGAGTTTGTGGTAATGTCGTTTGGGTTGACTAATGCTCCGACGACTTTTATGGATTTGATGAATAGAGTGTTTAGGCAATACCTAGACATCTTTGTAATTGTGTTTATCGATGATATCATGATCTATTCAAGGAGTGAGAATGAACATATGGATAATTCGAAAATTGTGTTGCAAGTTCTTAAGGACCAACAACTTTTTTCAAAGTTTAGCAAGTGTGAATTTTGGTTAAGGTCTGTAGCTTTCCTCAGTCATATTATGTCAAGCAAGGGTATTGAGGTAGATCCTAAGAAGACGGATGCGGTCAAGATTTTTCCTAGACCTCTAACTCCTTCCGACAATAAAAGCATTTTGGGTTTGGTCGGTTAGTATAGGAGGTTTGTTGAGGGGTTTTCCTCCATTGCTTCTCCGTTGACGACTTTGACTCAAAAGCAGGCTAAATTTGAGTGGTCGAAGTCTTGTGAGAAAAGCTTCCAAGGGTTGAAAGATAGACTTACTTTCACTCCGGTGTCGACCTTACCAGAGGGTACGAATGGTTTTGTAGTATATTGTGACGCCTCTAGAGTGGGGTTGGGATGTGTCCTCATGCAAAATGGTAAAGTTATTGCCTATGCATCAAGGCAACATAAAGTCCATGAGATGAATTATTCTACCCATGATCTTCAATTAGTGGTGGTGGTATTTGCCTTGAAAATATGGAGACATTACTTTTATGGAGTGCATGTGGATGTTTTCACCGATCACAAGAGTCTTCAATATGTGTTTAGTCAAAAGAACTTGAATATTCGTCAACGAAAGTGGTTAGAGTTATTAAAGGATTATGACATGAGTGTCCTTTACCACCCCGGTAAAGCTAATATTGTAGCAGATTCACTTAGTAGATTGTCCATGGGTAGTGTGGCTCATGTAGAAGATGAAAATAAAGAATTTGTTTGTGAGGTGCATAGATTGGCCCGACTTGGTCTCCAACTAGTGGATTCCACGAAGGGTGGTGTCATGGTCCATAATGGTTCTGTATCGTCCTTTGTGATGGATGCGAAGTCTAAGCAAGACCTTGATCCTATTTTAGTTGATTTGAAAGAGTTGGTACTTAAGAGGTCCGTTGAGGCTTTCTCCCAAAGGGGAGATGGGGTGCTTAGGTACCAAGGTCTATTATGTGTTCCGGATGTTGATGGTTTGAGGGAACAAATTTTATAGGAAGCTCATAGTTCTCGATATTCTATTCATCCGGGAGCCACCAAGATGTACCATGATCTACAGGAAGTCTATTGGTGGAATGGTATGAAGAGAGAAATTGCAGGATTTATAGGCAAATGTCCTAATTGTCAACAAGTTAAGGTTGAGCACCAAAGGTCAGGAGGCTTGTCCCAAAAGATAAGTATTCCCACTTGGAAGTGGGAAGATGTGAATATGGACTTTATTGTGGGTTTGCCTCGCACTCGAAGTCAGCATGATTCTAATTGGGTCATTATAGATCAGATGAAAAAATCAACCCTTTTTATTCCCATCAAAGTTTCTTATTCAACGGAAGACTATTCCAAGTTGTTTATAATAGAGATACTGAAGTTGCATGGGGTCCTTTTATCTAATATTTTGGATCTCGGGGTACTCAATTTACTTCTCACTTTTGGAAGTCATTACAAAAAGGGCTTGGTACAAGGTTAAGCTTAGCGCGGGTTTTCATCCCGAAACCAATGGGCAAGTGGACCGTACCATCCAAACATTAGAAGATATGTTGAGAGTATGTGTTATAGACTTCAAAGGTAATTGGCATGACCACTTTTCATTAATAGAGTTTGCTTATAATAATAGTTATCACTCAAGTATCAGCATGTCTTCTTTTGAAGTCTTGTATGGTAGGAGATGTTGGTCTCTGGTTGATTGGTTAGAGGTAGGTGAAATGGCTCTTATTGGTCCCTAGTTGGTTTATGAAGCCATTGAGAAAGTTCATCTCATTAGAGAGAGGTTGAGAATGGCTCAAAGTAGACAAAAGTCTTACGCCGATGTGAGAAGAAGGGAGCTAGAATTTGAAGTTGATGATTAGGTCTATTTCAAAATCTCACCCATGAAGGTAGTGATTAGATTTGGCAAGAAAGGGAAACTTAGTCCCCGGCATGTAGGCCCATATCAAATTTTGAAACGTATTGGAAAGGTTGCCTATGAATTGGATTTGCCAAATGAGTTGGCCTCGGTTCATCCGATATTTCATGTTTCTATGCTTAAAAGGTCCATTGGAGACCCGACATCCATTATTCCCTTAGAAGAGTTGGGAGTTGACGAAAGCCTTTCATATGAAGAGGTTCCAGTAGAAATCCTAGACCGGCAAGTCAAGAGATTGAGAAACAAGGAAATAGCTTCCGTGAAGGTTTATGGAGAAATCATTTAGTTGAGGGTGCTACTTGGGAGGCCGAGGCCGATATGAAGTCCCGATATCCTCATCTCTTTCCTTCTATCCTATTCAAGCTTGAGGTAAATAGTTCCTCTTGAGTTTTAGTGCATTGGGAATCATGTGTGTTAAAGGTGTTTTTCCCATGATTTCCTTATGTTATGCATGTTCTTGATGAAATTCATCTTTAGTAAGAAAATGAGTTTTTTTATGATTTATGCCCCTTATGTTGTTGTGCATTTAGTATGAGTTGCCTAAATGACTTCATGAGATGAGTTGATGAACATGCTTTAGTATGCTTTTAAGAGGAATTGCATATTGGCTCCATTATATTGTGTTGAGCATGATTTTTGTTGGAGAAGGTAGTTCCTCATATGAATATGAGAAATATTGAGTTTCATGCATAATAGGTTGTTAGATGTAGTTCCTACTTCCTTGTGTTGCATTGATTATGTGTTAGATGGAGTTGAAGTTTCCTCCTTTGAATTGTGCATTATTTTGATGTTTCATGCATGTTGGACTGCTAATTTTGAGTCTTGAATTCCGTAAAGTGTCTAGTTCGTCATTTGAGGATGAATGATCCCAAGGGGGAGATGTTGTAACACTCCAAAAATTAGTAGGCTAAGCTAGAGCTTAACATGAGGGTTACAGTCGTAAACGTACCTCCCAGTACCATAAAATAAATGTTTTCATGTTAGAACGTCAAGGTTCAAACCCCAAGGATCAACCATGGGTCATTGAGAAGGACCCTAATGAGGCTACCCAGGCAGTGACCTGCGAGGGTAACCCACGCCCTGTAGGTCCTCCCATGCCTTCTAGGTGGGCATCCGTGGAACTAGGCCTAAGGAACAAGGTCTCTGAACCCAGACCACGGTTCACCAACACGGTTTGTGGGTCCAACCACGATTCTCCAGCATGGGCAATGGGTCCAACCATGGTCCGTCGGTGATGGGTCGTGGGTGAGGACAGGAACTTCTATTTGTTAGTTACACTTAGGGGCATTATGGAGTATTCCATTTTTTACTAATATTAAGTGACATAATTTTACACTAAATTAGACTAACTATATATGGTTTTAAACTCCCTAAATTAAGTCATCTTCCTCATAATCCCAAATCCCAATAGAAAGACCCAAACCCTCTCCAAAAAATATCTCTCTTTAGAACTCCAAGAAAGACGAAGAAGGATGGTGAAACTAGGGTTGAAGGAGCAGGTTTTTCTCTTCTTCATTGGAATTCAAAGCTAAGGTATCATAGCTCTTCATCCATGGATCTAATTCATCCATGGAGTCCCTCCAAAACTCAATTTCAAAGATAGAAATTCTCCAAAACCTAGGGTTTGACTCCTAGTCATGGATTCCTTTATAAAATGATTCTATTTATTTAATAACTTTATATTATGATTGAATTGATGATTTATTATGGATATTTGTTGAAATCTCCCAATAATCCATAAAATCCCCAAATTCCCAAATTGTGACCTTGTGAGGTGGGTGAATTGTACAAAGAAGTGTATTATGAGGCTATGCTTATGGTATATTGAACTAATTGAATTATGTTGTTATCCATGTCTAATGTATTAATTATAGATGTGTTGATTTAATATGATTTATGGTCCTTGAAGGGAAAAGTATGAGAATTATGTATGAAT